AAAGACTAATTGAGGAAATTAAGGAAGCAGTATTTTTCGTGTTGTTTTATGTAATATATATAGTATATATGATGTGTATACACATTTTTGTAGTATATCATAAAATACTCAAGTCCTTGTTTGAGCTCCATTCTATTAAAAATTCATTTTCAACTATACATTTTTCAATAAAATAATATTGCATGCAAATTCAAAACTTTTTCCTAATTTTTAACCACACATTATCCATCAATCACTATTTAAAAATGCATTCTTTCACATAAAATGGGGCTCAAACAAGGGCTAAAATTTAGGGCAACTTACAAAAGTATCCTTAAAATTAGAGGTTTTTTGAAAAATTATATGAAAAGTTTTTTAGAAGTAAAAAATACTGTATAAAATTAAAAAGTAACACAACGTCACTTTTTAATAAAAGTGTTATTTATTTTTTAAAAAGTGACACAACGTCACTTTTAAAAGTTTAATGTCACTTTTTTTTATTAAAAAAAAGATGTTTGTCAAAAGTGCTAAAAATTTCAAAAAGACGATTGAAAAAAGGTGACAAACACTAAAAAATGACAAAAATTCAAAAAACAGTGACAGAAATTTAAAAAAGTGACATAAAAAAAAAGTGACAGAAAATAGATAAAAAAAAGTGATAGCAACAAAACTTTATTGTTTATAACAGATAAAAACCGTGTACTAAGATTAATCTCTGATGCAAAATTAAGGAAGATAAGATACAGGAAAAAGAGTAACCAAATAAGTTAGATTCATCTAAAAGACGAGCTCATGAGATTTCATTCCAGCCTTTATAGAGAATCTCGCTCCCAAAGAGCACTTCGATTCTGGAATGCTCTTAATAGCTTTTTACAATTTTACATCAACAGCTTTTTGGTCATCTTTCTTCTCTGCTGGAAGCACATTTTCTCCTCTTTTTTTGCCTCAAAGAATTCAGTCTCGCCCTTCTTCTTCTCAGCTTGCGTAGCCAAGTACTCGTCATCGAGCTTCTTCACATTCACCCTAGAGATGTCAACCTTTGTGGAAGTAGCAACAACGTAGGCTTGGTTGACACGTTGTAGAGGAATACCATTGATCTTGAATCGTCTAGTAACAAGCAACAATCTAGAAGCAAGCTACTTCAAGAGAACAACACGCATCCCCTTAAATCTTTCGGTCAGTATAATTAACACTGCTCTGGAGTAATACTTGCCCTAAGTTTTGTGGGTTTGTGCTTGCGCTTGTTGGAAAGCGGCTTCTTGACATCATCAGCTGGGTAGAATTTGGTGCCTTCTCGGCAACTGGCCTTACTGCTATGGATTTCTTCTTGTGGGTTGGGAATTTGCCTCCATTTTTGGCCTTGATAGCCCATAATCAGTTATTGGAGGTGGAGGAGTCCATGTTTAAGCGATAATAAAACATTAATGCCACGAATGCCATTTCATCAACAAAGAAATTTACACCTGTCTATTCAACGCTTCACTTCCACCACGTCAATTCTCACACAATCATCTTCACAGATGAAAAACGTACTTGAACAGGGGAACTTAACTTGAATAAAAAATCAAAATCAAGGTTTATATCATTTTAATCTAGATATTTCAATTAACAATCTATGACCAACCCATTAAACATAAAATTAGAAAAGGGTAGCTCTATTTCCATCAATGCTTTTTATAAGTATATCCACTTTTAAAAATAAAATTTTACTATATTTTAAATCACATATAAATTTACTTAAAAAGACATGAGTAATAATGAGCAGCCTGGATAATAAAAGGTAGCCTTCCTCCCACAAAGCTTTTTGACAAGTGAATTTGACAAATAATCCCAACCCTTAATTTAAAGGTCTAGATTCATTTTCTTGAAATCTTCTAAGAATAAAAAATTGGCACCCCCATCTAAATCTACCAAATGGGCCTCGCTGTAAATTAGTTCCTCCTCCTCTGCCACCACCCCTCCTCGTCACTCTCGTCATATTCCGATTGTTCTCATGACTTATTTAAGCAATTCACTTCTTTGAATCACTTGAACACTAGCGAGAGCTCTTCCAATATTCATAATTCGTTGATCCATAATAGAAGTAGTAATACTAATGAAATACTATCCGGGATTGTGAGATCTAAATCGGATGAAGACTGTAATTGTTGCAAGAGCTTGGAGTTTCCCATAATTAGTTCGAGCAGTTCATTGACATTCCAAGAAAGGGCAGTCTGATGAGGGTTTGGAGAGTAATAAGCCGAATACTAGTGGGGGTGTGTATGATTAAAAAAATTTGGATAATGGGAAAGAGTTTTTGGCCTTGACACTGGTAAATAATTGCTCTCAGATGTTGCAGGCCCTGGCTTGCAGTTGGAGTATTTGAGGTACTCTTTAGTTCAACAAAGTTTCACATATTATAGCTCCACGTGGTATTATTGGACATGAATCCAAAACACAGAAAAAAATGATTGTCAGCGTGTCAGCCCTTTACTATGTTTCTTTTGTTTATATTAATTTAAAGATATTAACAACCCATGTTCGACCAAAAAAACACGAAAAAAAGGTTATGTTAAAGCATATGATCCTTTGGATTGATAAGGAGATTGAAATTATATTGCTATCTCTTAACTTCTTTCGTGCCTATTTCTGATATATGCGAATTGTGCATTTGTAAAGTTTAGATGATGGTAGACATCATTTATCACGAGAATTAATGAGTAAAAATTGTTTATATTTTGATATTGGCCACCTAAAATGAATGTATAAAATTCAAGTGGAAATATAGTGTTTAAATGAATGGATTTAATAAGGACAAGATTGAAAATGACGTGGATGTAAATAGTATTTTTTAAAATTTTTAAATTTTATAAGAGATGAATTTAGAGTGGGATGTACTTATAAAAAGTGTGGATGAAAATAGTGGTACCCAATCAGAAAACATACGTTGTCAATGAAATTTAAAAATTAAAAGTAAAAAAAAAAAAGAAAGAAAAGAAAAGAAAACAAGTCCTTACAGAAATATATTGATTTGGGTCCTGGGAGGCGAGAGACGAGAGTGAGAGGTGCCGGTGATAGGTGGTGGAAGGCGGCGAGAGACAAGAGTGAGGGCTAAGGCACCTGGTAGAGTCGTCGAGAGATGAGAGGAGAGTGAAATCTGTGGTTTGGATGGATTGTAAACATGGGATTTCTCTCTGCAATCGGTTGGTTTTGGGGGGTTTTGGAAGATTTAAGGCGTAATTATTACGGTCATTATAGGTTTTAGTTTGTTTAAGTTTATTAATCTAGTTTGTTCACTTTAGAGTAGGGAGCCTAATTTCCTCCTAGAATTTAATGGGCCCTTAATGAAATAGATTTTAGTTTCATTAAGTAAAAAGAGACTTCTTTTTCCCATTACAATAGGCTTAAACTAGGGCCCCGTTTGGGAGCGATTTTGAGAATTAATTTTTTTATCGTTAGGAGAAAATTGGGGACCTCCTGTGAGAGAAGAAATCAAACTTTATGACTAAAATAGTGAAATAACGATTAAAAAATCAATTTTTGGGGGATGAAAAATCATTCTCAAATACCCCTTAGTCCATTAAGAAAAGAAACCAAGATTGTGTGTTTTGGGCAACTCTCTTATGCAAGAAGGCCAAGTATATAGTTCTTTTTTGACGCTTGTATTTCCATAAAAGTATATTTAGGTGAAAGTTTTGTCCAACCATTTTGTGTCGACTGAAAAATAAATATTAATAAATACTTTTTGTTTCGTGTGTAATAACTTGAATTTAAGCTAAGCTATTTTCATAGATATTAAATTAAAAATTACATATAGTTTATACGAGTTACGGTCGAATAAGAGTAAATAATAGAAATAGAAATATCCAATATTAGCATAATGGGGTTAAAAGACATTAAATATGAACTCCCTTCGTCCAATTACCAATCACACTACACGATTGAAGATAAAATAGAGATTGATAGCCGATTCACGTTGCTATTAACATTAGGTATAGGCATTGATTGAATATTAATTCGGTCATTTTCCTAGCTATATATGAGTCCGTTTTGTGCACATTTTTTAGATGAAAATGCATTTTAAACATCATATCGCGGGTCTCCCCATTAGAGTGTAGAGTCAAAAATTGTGTGCTGATGTGACAGAAAAAATGCACTTTTGGCTCCAAAAATGAGTACCAAACAGGGGCTATATATTAACGCAATTTGGTTACGTACATTGCTTTAAAAATTTAGTGAATGCTTTTGGGTTGACAATTTGCTTCAACCGTAGGATTATTTTGCCTCGATATGTGTAGTTAGGTCACCTGTTATAGTTAACGGAAGTGACCATAAACAGAAGTTACCAAACGGAACGGAACTTCAGCTTCCAAAGACCATAGATTCAGGTCAAAAATAAATGAGATAATGACAATTGTAAAGAAAATAGAATTATTCTGCAGGCATAGATTTTTTTAACAAATTTTATACAAGACGACAACAAATTCCTGTGAGACGGCTGTGTTTCCTGTATAAAATTTGTTAAACCTAAATTTCCATTAGATTTTTTTCCTAAAAATTTCTTGCAAAAGAGCTCTTGCATCGTTAGCCGCTTCTCAGAATTTCTTGCCTGAGTTGTTGACCATGTTATCATTGACTTGCTTTTCAACCTAAGCAATTTCATAAACCAAAAAGAAAGACCTCTCTTTCGGGATCAATCCCTTCTCTGAATGTAGTAATAAAAAATCTGCACTTATAGCATTTTTTAAGAAAATAATGTACATTAGAAAACTATATCGCTGCTGCCTTATTTGCTGCCTTATTTCAAATAAGGTAGCAGCACACGGCCAGCTCAAGCTTTGCCGGCACTTAAAAATGGGGCTCAATTCTCCCGAGTCTCGAATCGGGCTGACTCGGGCTTTTTTTGGGGCCGAGGAAGCATTAGCCCGAGCCTAGGCTGGATCGACATCCCTAGTCTAGACGCCATTCTCTCTGGATTCCGTGGTGTCTACACAGACTAGCATTAATATAATTCTTGGACGCATTCATGGAACCCGGGCACAAGAAGCCAAACAAGAATTGTAAAATTTTAAAAAAAGGAAAAATCATTTTGAGATTGAAAACTGTAAGCATACTGAAATTCATAGATGATTCGTTCTATTTCTCGGAGGAAGCAGCATAGATCTACACAAAGGACAACTCACTTGGCCCTCATCAATCCATGTATCTAAACACTCTCTATGGAATACATGGTTGCAATTACAGAGCTCTCTAATTTCATGCCTTAATTCCACAGACTCTAAGCAAATCGTGCATACCTTTTCCCCATTTCCGTCTTCATCTTGATCCAGCCGTTCCAGAAAATCTCTGTATTTCACAATAGGAACTCTTTTCTTAATGGCTGCTGTGACCACGTGAACAGGAACTGGGACCAGAGATGGGGATAATCCATCTAATATGAGAATATAATTGTTCGAATTGTCCGTGGCTGTCTCTTCCTCCGGCGGCGGTTTGTACAGACCAAGACGAGTGAGTGCCCCGATAATTAAGAATCTCACTTGGCTTAATATGTTCAAGAAGAATGTTAGGTTTATAACCTTTGGTAGTCTTATGGCGTAGTATAGAAACCCCATCTCCCAATTTTCCGGCGGTGGCGGGTGGCGGAGGAGCACTGAAGTAGTGGAGGAGAACGAGGGATTCGTTTTCTTTTCGTTGATATAAATAATTGAAAGTATTATTATTAATAATTTATAGAGACACCCTGGGTCTTCTGGCTGTCTCCATTGTCATTTATTCATTTTTATAAAAAGGTGGGTTAAGGGAGAGGAATTGGTACGTCATTATGATATTGATTCAAATTTAATTTGAAACTACACTCATATTTTTATATGAAAATAAATAATTGTTGGTATTACTTGTCTGTCTTCATAAAGTTACATGTAGATTACTTTCACATTTTATATTGAATATCCGATCGATGATTATGTATCACAATTTATGTTGTTCTCAATTGAGATTATGATGAATTTAAAAAAATTATAAATTCATGAATTTGAATATATTTTCACCAAATTCAAAAAAGTTCGTTATGTATATTTTTAAGCTTGAAACTTATTCAGATATTTTAAAATTCCTCAGTTAATGAGATTTTTATAAATTTCTAAGTTATGAGGATATGCTTAAATTGTAAAGATTTCATTAAAATTAATTAAAATCTCAATTACGGACATTTGATTTTAATGAATTTAGGGGAAACTTAAATTTAAAATGATCTTTAAAAGTGAAATTCTCCAGTTACATGATTTTTTCACAGCTGTCTTCCTGTATAAAATTTGTGAAAAATCCCTTTACTTATATCATGTTTCTTTTTAAAACTCATCAAATCTTAATTGGTGATACCTAAAATTTGAAAAAAAAATAAATAAATTAAAATTTATTAAAATCTCAATTGAGAAACCTCGTTAGTTATGTATAAAGAAATATTAAGATTTATTTTAAAAAAAAGTTAAATATAAATCAAATATTTTAAAATACTTTCAAGTCATTAAAAGTTCTAAAGCCTGTTTGGGCCCGATTTTTTCGCCCAAAAAATTGATTTTTTGATCGTTATTTCACTATTTCAGCTGTCATATTTGACTTCTTCTCTCACGGATGGACCCAACTTTTCTTTTAACGGTCAAAAAATCAATTCTCAAAATCACTCCCAAACAGCCTCCTAGTCTTCTAGAAGGGCTCCATGTTGTCCTAATTAGAGAGTGAGAGACGTCACGATCTAAATTGGAAATTTATTTATTTTATTGTGACTTGTACTTCAACTTGGACCGTCCATTTAATTGGGCCAAATGCCCAAGACGTCAATTCGAGAATGACATGTAACAGACAATTTGCTTTATATTCATAATTTCTTTGTCCATTTCCACCGTCCCCTGTCGCCTACTCGTCTTTACGATTAGAGTCGGTAAGTGACTCACTTTCAATCACACATTTTAAGAAAATACATATTTTTTCATATTTTAAAATTTTTTTCCCACTTTTTAACAAAATCACTTTTAAAATAATCTCCCGTGTACAACAACTATAAATTCAGACGTAACTTACAATTAGGAGGCCATTCTCTTATGTTTGCTAAAGCAAATCCCAACCCTTGTAATGCTTTCGAGTTACTCACTTTCCTACGTTCGATAAGTCAAGAAGATGGAGAAAAATAATACAACGATTTAGGTGAGAATTTTTAAAATTTGAGAAAAATCCTAAACTATTAAATAAAAGTCCTAAAATTTGTTACAACCAATATAGAAGTTTTGGCACAACTAAACCGAAACATAGTACAAAAAATATCATATAGGCTTCATCAAACTCATAAAATATCACTATTTGTACAAACCGCTAAGAAAACGAGAATATTCTTTACATGTTATATCGAATTTTTTTCCTTATTGCGTACATAAAAGAAATGAAAAAAAAATCAGGTTGAATCGTTTAACATAATTCTTGCTCCAAAAATTTATGAAAACTTTTGTAAATTTTTTTTCTTATCTTAATTGGTTAAGGACGATAGTTTTCACAAGATCAATGATTCAATAATAGGTATCCTCTTTATAATTTCTTTTGTCGTTAAAAAAAAATAATAATAAATAAATTGTTTTTTGAAACTTTTATGATTTTCAATGCCAATTTGCTGGCACAATCATTGAGGCATCTTTACACCAGAGATTAAAAAAATAATAATAAATAAATAAAATATTGTTTATTGAAACTTTTATGATTTTCAATGCCAATTTGCTGGCACAATCATTGAGCATCTTTACGCCAGAGATTCGGACTTGACATAAAGGGCTTCTTCACGCCTTGATTTCTCTTCTTTTTCATACCCCTTTTGTAATTTTGGCATCTTTTGAGGCCAAGTTTCCATCAGTCTGAATTTCTAGCAATTGGAAAAGTTAGAATTAGAATGTGACCTGAGTTGTATTTTGAACACGATTGGGAATTTCAATTAAAATCAACACTGAGGAATTCTATTTGTTGGAATGCTTTTGGAATTCTATTCGAAATTTATTTGAGAAATTGTAGTTGAAATTCTATTTAGAAGCCTTATTGGAAGTTGGGATTTTTATTGGACTGAAAGATCAGGATACAGGCTAAGGATATTTTTCGGGGCAATTATGCTTGTCTAACGCTCGACTAGAGCTCGAGCATCCAAACCAATGAAGCTTGTGCACAGGTCGCTTGACGGCCGTGCCATCTCGGCTCTCGAGTGCTATATTTATCAGGCCCAGACACGTTTTTATGTTTTGACGCGTTTTGATCATTCATTTTTATCTACAACTCCACTTTTTTGGTTTGAAACATCCCTTGTATATATATTAGGTTCTTCATTGTATTTCAGAATAAGTTTGACAAATCAAAATATAAAATCATTGTAATTCTTTTTCCATATATTAGTGAAATCTTCATTCCTCTGCCAATTATTTTATTATTAAGTTTGTGATCAATTACTTCATATTGTACTTATCATAACAAATTGGTATCAAGATTATCCGATATATTTCTTTGTTATTTACAACAAACTAGTATCAGAGCTAAGACTTAATTCGTAAGACTTTTTTTTTTTTTTTTTAATTTTGGAATGGTAACCATAAAGTATAATATTCCGTTTTTGGATCGCAACATAAGATTTTCATTGCGGCAGGTAAATATGCGAGCGATTTCATTTAGATGGATTTGGACGATACTTTGTTAGGATTTGATAAGATGCCTACAACTTAGAATCAAGAGGAGAAACAATGTAGAAATCGGAAGGCCCTAGCACACATTCATCTTCATTTTTCGAATAACATTGTTCTGGACATTTTGAAGGAAAAGTCTGCCCTTGCATTATGGTTAAGATTAGAACAATTGTGCATGACTAAGAGTTAAGTAGCAAATTACATTTGAAGCAGTGCCTTTATTCTTATCGTATGATAAAAAATACATCTCTTGAAGATTATTTAGCTGTTTTAAGGAAATCGTCGCCGATCTTGAAACCTTGGAGAGTAAATATGACGAAGAAGTTTTGGGTTTGTTTTGTTATGTTCTTTGCCCTCTTTTATATATGTCGTTTAGAGACACGATCTTATATAGTCATGATATACTTATCATTGAAAATGTTTATGATGATCTTTAGTCAATGGAGAAGATGAAGTATCTCGTTCGAATTGAGGCTCATGGAGATGGCCTTATTGTTGATGGTGGTTCTAGAAAGGATAAATTAATGTCTAACTTCACAAATAAAATTTGTAATTATTACAAGAGAAAGGGACACTTGGTTAAGGATTGCTATAAGTTACAGAATAAAGAAAAAATTGCTGCAGCTAATCACAAGGGAAAGCAATTAAATTCTTCAGGTGAAGCTAGTGATTGAGAAATCTTTCACAATGATGGAGATCTTTTGGTGATTTTTAATGGTGATTCTCAACCTTAAGATGATTGGATTTTTGATATGACTTGCACTTTTCATATGGGGAACAATCAAGATTTGTTTACAGCACATGAAGAAGTTTTTAAAGGCGTTGTGATTGATAATAATACACCTTGTTGAATAGTTGGTATAGGAAGGGTTAGAATTAAGTTGATTGATGAAAGTGTCATAACACTTGATGCAATGCGATAAGTTCCTGATTTGTAGAAAAATATTATCTCCTTAACTACTATTGGCTTAAAATAGAATAAATTCATTAGTGAAGGTGGAGTTCTGAAAGATATATTTTTTTTTTTATTTTTAAAAATTTTTCCTACTTTTTAACAAAATCACTTTTAAAATAATCTCCCGTATACAAGAGCTATAAATTCAAACGTAACATACAGGATAAATTAATGTCTAACTTCACAAATAAAATTTGTAATTATTACAAGAGAAAGGGACACTTGGTTAAGGATTGCTATAAGTTGCAGAATAAAGAAAAATTTGCTGCAGCTAATCAAAAGGGAAAGCAATTAAATTCTTCGGGTGAAGCTAGTGATTGAGAAATCTTTCACGATGATGGAGATCTTTTGGTGATTTTTAATGGCGATTCTCAACCTTAAGATGATTGGATTCTTGATACGACTTGCACTTTTCACATGGGGAACAATCAAGATTTTTTTACAACACATGAAGAAGATTTTAAAGGCGTTGTGATTGATAATAATACACCTTGTTGAATAGTTGGTATAGGAAGGGTTAGAATTAAGTTGATTGATGAAAGTGTCATAACACTTGATGCAATGCGATAAGTTCCTGATTTGTAGAAAAATATTATCTCCTTAACTACTATTGGCTTAAAATAGAATAAATTCATTAGTGAAGGTGGAGTTCTGAAAGATATATTTTTTTTTTTATTTTTAAAAATTTTTCCTACTTTTTAACAAAATCACTTTTAAAATAATCTCCCGTATACAAGAGCTATAAATTCAAACGTAACATACAATTAAGAGGCCATTCTCTTATGTTTGCTAAAGCAAATCCCAACCCTTGTAATGCTTTCAAGTTACTCACTTTCCTACGATCAGAGCTGGTCCTGTGTTTGATGGGCCCTGAGGCGAACGATGAAAATTAGGCCCCCCAGCGACAAAATTCAAAGGTGTATTAAGGATGTTGTTTTGTTGTGGGATTAAAGGATGTTGTTTGTTGTTGGATAATTAGTCTTGGGCCGACTCACCTTATTTTAGGTCTGCTCACCTTGTTAAAAAAGAAAAAAAGGGGGGGGGGTGGGGGCAAAATTAGACCCCTAATGGTCTTGGGTGCCTTAGGC